GTTATTAATTCAGTCTAAATGTATAGTAGATTGTATTTTTCTCACATTTGTTCATACACATATACAGTATGTATGCATATGCATGTACTTTTGCCTGAATTTATGTGTGTTTTTGTATGTTTCTGTTGATGTTCATGCGTGTGTGTGTGTGCGTGTGCCGTGATGTGTGTGTGTGATGTGTGTGTGTGTGTGTGTGTGTGTGTGTGTGTGTGTGTGTGTGTGTGTGTGTGTGTGTGTGTGTGTGTGTGTGTGTGTGTGTGTGTGTGTGTGTTTGTGTGAGTGTGAGAGAGAGTGTGTGTGTCATGTGAGAGAGAGAGAGAAGTGAAGTGTGCGTGCGTGTGTGTGTGTGTGTGCATGCATGCATGTGTATGCGTGCTTGTGTAAACATGCACATACATTTTTTGTTGGTTTAAGTTTTATAAATGAGTGCATATGTGAGTCTGTGTGTATGTGTGTATGTATGTAAGCATGTACACTATGTATATATGTTTTATGTACATATGCATATATATGGACATCATATGCATTCGAGTATATGTTGTGTGTGTGTGTGTGTGTATGTATGTATGTATGTATGTATGTATGTATGTATGTGTATGTGTGTACATATGTGTTTATTTATCAGTCAGGATAGAGTAAGAGAGAGATAGAGAGAGGCAGGGAGTTTTTTTTTTTTTTTTTTTCCCCCATTTGTTTGTTTGGATTGAGCAAGTGAGTGAAAGCACGCATGTATGCATGCATATATATATGTACTGTATGGCTAAATTAAAAACAAGCACTGGAACAGTGTTTTTTCTTTTATTTTTTACAAGAAACTCAAACTTGCCATATTATCTATTTTGTAGTTTTTGAAATAATCATTATGGAAGTGTTTGCTGTCAAAATCTTTTTGTTTTTGATATAAACTCACTAGTCATTTAGAGTAAATTGATATATTCTTGAATGGGGAACTACTATTAATGTAAGTCTTAAGTTACGTGCATACTGAGGTGTGTGGTGTGTGTGTTAGCAGGACGTGATGGTGGTTGGAGAGCCGTCCCTGATGGGCGGTGAATTTGGTGATGAAGATGAGCGACTTATCACACGCTTGGAGAACACCCAGTACGACACGGCCAACGTGGAGGACAGCGGTAGTGGCGGAGGTCCCCAAGGGGCAGGGCCAGGAGGACCTGGACCTGGAGGACCCGGACCTGCCGGACCTACGCCATTCAATAACTCGCCGATGACCACTGGCCCCGGAGGTCCCTGGCCCGACCCCGCGCGACAACCCCAGGACGCTGACAAGAAGAGTCCAGCAATCAGTCAGTAGCCCAGATGTTAAAAACACTTTAGATTCTCTTTTTTTACGAAGTAGCACCCCCTCCCCCTCCCCCATATAAGCGGAAAAGGTATCTTCAGGAATTGGAGAGTAGCCATTATAGGTAGCCTCAATGGGAAGGCTCACAACTGGTGTAGCGAAGATATTTTGGTAGTAAGAGTGGTGGACTTGAAGGGGGGCAACAAGTATTACAAATGGGAAAAGTTGGCAGTGCATCATTGAAGCTTATTTATTCAATTTGGAATTTCAATGCTCTCTTTGATTTTCATTAGTAGATAGCTGACCAAATAATTTTTTTTATAGTTTGTTATGTAAGACAACTTTGATACTGGGCTGCCTTTGTGATTTGGGGTTTTGAGGGTGAGTTATCTATTTGGAGTTTTAATTTTAATTCTCTTGTAAACTGTGAACTCTGAAAGACTGAAGTGATAGTACCCAGCCAGTCATGGAGTGGCACACAATCTTCCCTGGGGGACAAAGCTCAGATCAGACTGTAAAAAAAATAATAATAATTACACTTCCAAATGAAGCTGTAAGGTTAAGGTTTAAAGGACAACAGTCTTCATGTACCCAGGTACTTGTGTTTCTTACCAGTTTTCATACCTACAGTGGTGCACATGCTGTAAATGCTTTGTAACTTTTTATATTATTTTAACAAAAAATCAATAGGGACCAATGTTTTGGTCAAAGTTACAAGGTTATTACATTCTTTTCAGTTGTATAACCATTTTTGCAAAATAGGTATACAAGGCCCTGAGTATTTTGATATGGTTTCATGAAGATGAATGATACTTAGACCTTCAATTATTGTGCTTATCATGAGAGATGGTAGTTGTTCCTTTATAACGTTTTCATGATTGAATGTTTGAAGTGCATGTTAATCCCTGTTAAGTATTTATTATACTTGGGCATGGATGTGAGGAGGATCTTAGAGAGAGTGTTTCAACAAGTGAACCTTTATGTTGTATGTGTATATTTGTAGTGATATAACTTTTAAGTATGGTACTTGGCCTACACTAGCAATATTTCAGGGTATGGGTTATGTCCCATGCATATTCATTATTTGGTAGTGGTATTTCTTGCATAAATTAGGGTGCATACTTATTTATTTGTTTGAGGTAATATCTTGTGTGCATTTTATTATATATGAAAGAAACTTTTTTTTATAACTATTCATTGTTCAAGTGAGAGAACTAAGCATGTCCCATTGTAGGTAGACAAGGCTGGTCTCTCAAGTGTTTCATAATGTTTCCAAAGGTTCACTGATTGTTATGTGAAATATCTCGTCTGAGAAAATTGTTTATATAATTTTGTATATGATGGCTTTCGTTGGTCTGACCTTGATCATTCATTTAGGGTTCTATTTTTTGCTCATACTATACTGAAACTCAAAGGCATTTCATTAGTTTTTATACCATAAGGACTGACTTCATATTAATATTATATGGTAGACTGGCAGGGTGTATGAAGTTGTTATCCTACTTTTTTCATGATTTCATGGAAACAGTTACTTGTATCTTTGTACAAATTGCCCAAGGAGTAGTATTGTCATCTCATTCAGTTTCTTTCAAATCAAAATGTAAGCAATATGCAAGGAGGTTTGCAAAGAGAGAGCTTTTCAGTTTTTATTTCCTTAACTGTGGTTTATATTTTTTATATAACCCAAATATCTTTTAAAATTGTACTAAATTGAGTTTTAAACTTGTACACTTTATTAATTACTCTTGGAATTGATTCTACTCTCTGTGCAAAGTCTCTGTAATGTTCATCCTCTCAGACACAGCTTAGTTTTCTTGGTATCAGCACCCTTGTTATTGTTGAAATATCCCTGCATATTGATTGGTTGAGATGCCTGCTTGATAAACATTCCACCGAATAATCCAGAGTTTAACCAAAAAATGTGATTAATGATTTTGTATCTAAGGTTTTCAATAAGGAATATGTTGTATAGTGAGATATTTCTTACTGAAGAAGCATGTGATTGACACTCCTTTGTAATGATACAGAATACATGTATTGCCTACCAAGAAAACAGAAAATTTAAGAATCTCACAGGCTACAGTCTGCAGTCCATATCAAGGGGATGAGTCTAGGCTCACAACCTCCATATACTATTTTTTCTGTTGTTAAAAAAGGGAACATTACTATCTAATTTGGAGATTTGTAAGAGCCAAGCTTGAACCTTGCATATCAACACTTCTCCCCAAGAACTTTCTTGTGTTTACCTCTCATGTAAAGTGTACAAATCTTTGTTTGGATGTGATTGGTCGCCAAGATTTCCCAAAGAGGAAGCTACTATTTCTTGTCTTCTAGAGTGAGTGATGATAATAAATATTTTTAATCTAAGTTTTTAGCATGTTTATTTTCCTTATCTAAACAGTACATATGTGAATTCTTACGATTTTCATGATGTGATGACTGACATGAACATGTAGGAAAGAATGATGAATGTTGCCCAAAAATATAAAAAAGCAGTTACAAAAGTATATTCAATTGCTTTATTGTGGTTTTATGTATTCAATGAGTAATGTATCTTCCCAACTTCGTTCTAGATACAGAACAAAGCGAACTTTTCCAAAAAATCAAGTACAAAAAATAACCTTGTTAATTATCAAATGTAATTGTAGAACGAGTTATTAATTACTGTAAAACTATCGAGGAAAACTGAAAAAGTAACTACTGTAGAGAATAAGTTACAAAGAGGTGTTTGGCAACTGTTAGCTTGTGATTGTTGCCAAGTCTGCAGCTTCAGTTATCTATTACTAAAAAAAAGACCATACTTATGAAATGCATAACTGGTCAAACTAGTTTTGATAAATAATTAATATGAACTCTTACATTTAAAAGAAAATATCTAAAATAGTAAGAAGGATGGAGGGAAAAAATGTATTTCAACTCACTGCTTCGTGAATGCAAGAGGCAAACATATAGCATGAAAATAATGCCAAATATGCCTCTGACTGACGGCGAAATACTCAATTCAAGAAGCCATGGAAATATTTGATCTGTTGGTGAGATAACAGATTTTATATAGATTTGACATATTTTGATTTCCTACTGAACAATTCAATTAGGATTATTCCCGCATTTGTATCTTAAAGGGAATAAAACTGGTAGGTGAGTCGTACATTCACTATATTGTTATCGTAAATGGGTAGGATTTCATGAACCAGTTTATACTAGTAATGATAATACAAATATCTTTTGTACTGTTACTTTTATCTTCTTGTATTGAAGCTATTACTCAGATATTATGTACCTTATTCATATCAGTTAACAATGTTTGACTAAGTGGAATCCAAAGATTTCATGAGATCAGTGAGCCCTTTTCATGATTCAACATTAATCGACTGATGATACACACACACACACACACACACACACACACACACACACACACACACACACACACACACACACACACACACACACACACACACACACACACATATATATATATATATATATATATATATATATATATATATATATATATATTATATATATATATATATATATATATATTATATATATATATATATTATATATATATATATACATATATTTATATATATATTATATATATATATATATATATATATATATATTATATATATATATATATATATATATATATATATATATATATATATATATATATATATATATATATATATATATATATTTACATATACATATATTTATATATATATATATACATATATTATATATTATATATATATATATATATTATATATATATATATATATATTTATATATATATAAATATATTTATATATTAATATATATTATTCTTGAATATACACAACGTATTTTATTCTCTCTACTCGCAAAATGTGTTCCAGGAACATGTTACTACTGTTCATTTATCAGATACTAGAATATGTAACTTTTTGCCAGTATTCACAGTCTTAACAGTATCAGTTTCTTTTAGGTTCTGAAACAGATGAAGATCCAACACTTTGGAGAATAAAACCGACATTCTCTCCACAAAACATTAATCGAGCGGCATTTCATGATCGAGAGTGGGCGGCCATCTTGTGATCAAGGTACGTATGGATTTGATAATGCGGCCGAGTTTGATGAAAAAAAAAAAATTATCGTGTAGTTGCAATGTGTAATATTTTAAAAGAATATTATATATCTGTTTGCTGCCTATTTTTTTATGAGGTGATTGAAGTTTTTGTTTTCAATACATGTATATATATACAAATAGACCAGTAAAGTATATCTACAAGTATTGTATGTATATTTGTATCTGTATGTACTATGTATGCATTGAAATGTATTTAATATATATAACAGATGAATACAAATATATACAGTGTGTGTGTGTGTGTGTGTGTGTGTGTGTGTGTGTGTGTGTGTGTGTGTGTGTGTGTGTGTGTGTGTGTGTGTGTGTGTGTGTGTGTGTGTGCGTGCGTGCGTGCGTGCGTGCGCGTGCGTGCGCGTTGCGTGCGTGCGTGCGTGCGTGCGTGTGGCGCGTGTCTATGTGCGTGTGCGCCACACGCACGCACGCACGCACGCGTGTGCTTGCGGGCGTATGTTAGATATTACAAGAATTATAAAACTTTGATAGTACTCCCATATGATTTCATATCCATTGTGATGACCAGAAGTATAATAATCAATCGAATGAAACTGTAACAACAAACTTTCCGTTTTGTCTCCTGACCAGTATGCACAACGATTTCCTGTTACAGACTGGTCGGTCGGTACTCACAGCTGGATGTTTACCAAGATTTCTTCCTCGTTTGTCGATGCACGAGGTTAAACTCCCATAAAGTAATATGAAGAGTTTAATCACAGTATGTCGGTAATCGTGATAGGCTCTTTACCTTTCTCCAGATGCAAGGATAAATATCAGATAAACTTCGTCGGGAACAAGGACAGAAAGCTATTTTTATCCTTTGCCTTGAAGACGGCAAACGAGAGCGAAGCAGAGATTTCTGTTTTTTATTATGCTTCCCAAACTCCAATGATAATTCCCCTTCATTAAATGCTTACCTGTTATGATACAATAAGTGGTAATCGCCATGTATTATATTCAATTGTATTTTAAGAAGAGAAACATTTTTGAAAAATGGCTAAATAGGATTACCATGAGACTAGTAAGTCTGTGGTCCTCTATAATACAAACACTTTCGGATTGATTAGGCTTGACAAAATAATTTTTTGTTACCATTTTTAATGCAAAAATGATGTAAAATATTTATGAACAAGAAATGGCAGCATGGAACTACTGATAAATATAAATCTTGATCCCTTGAAATTTCATTATTTACATTCATGTATAAACCGTTACTTTACTTTTCTGGTCAGGAGTTTCTTCTGAATGCTATTACATTTCATCTGGGAATTATAGAAAAATGTTCTCTGTCCATTCATCAACTGGATATCAAGAACGAAAAACCTCCATTGGTTATGTCGTTCATTTAAGTTGAAAATCCGTTAATCGAACTTAATGCCAATATTAAGTACTTGTTTTAATCAATAAATATGTAGTGCATTTTTATACTGTACAATAACAATTTTAGTATACCACGCCTTAGAGAAAAATATGATCGCTTTACCAGCATTGATCGTTTAAATGGACTATAAATTTATGCCGTAAAAGTCATGAGGCATCATGGCAGTTGGCATTTACTGCTGGCGTGTAACGTCTGTCAGAATCGCAGGGCAATATGTAAGTAACAGCAACACGACTGAAATATTTCTAATAACAAGGTCCAGTAGCTCTAGTACAAGTGTAGTCACTGATTTATGATTTCCACGAAAAAACAGGCAGTAATATCGTTTATTGGTGTTAGTAATTTCTGTGAAGTTGTGCTCAGCATTGATCCTTGGTTTTGTGCCATCCCCACCACACCACTTCCATAAAAATGATGCTCCTTCCCATTCAGATATATACCTAGTTGGTTCTGAAAATAAGATATTATGTGATTTTTTTTAATTAATGGGATTAATTGTGCTAACTTTAGAACAACAAAACCTCAAGCCTCTGGCTAAGAATACTTATTGCATAATGTTATCTCATATTTATACCACATGCAGTATAAAGATATAATTACCGGTATCTCATTATTTTCAATTCGAATGAAGTTTGTGACAATGGTATCTCCACACTTCAGCCACATACATATTAACCCTGCTTCACTTCACACTACATCATGTAGTACTAAATAAACACATTTATTATTTTGGGTTTTGTTTTGTTTTTTTCTTGAAGCAAATGCTTACAGTTTCATATCTAATATCCAGTGTTGTGATATTGGTAAAAGTGAGCGAAGATGCATACTTAGAAAAGAGAGTGAACGTTACACTGGGCTAAAACAGGCATTTAGGACAGAGAAGGTTTTTAGGAACTGCTGGGACGAACGCGCAGTGTGGAATTCCAGGTCCGATCGTTTAGGCTTTGCGCTGGTTGAAGGTAAATAGAGATGTTATTGAAAAGGTTAATGAGAGAGAGTGGATAGATGCAGAACTTAAAAGAAAACATGTAACAACGCAGGGCATAAAGTAAAGTTATGGCTACATTTCAGAGCGATCCAATTTTTACCACTTTATGTAGCACACACACATGTATGTTATGTATATACATGTATGTATATATAATATATTATAACACAAATTATATATATATATATATATATATATATATATATATATATATATATATAATGGTTAAAACAAATAAATGTGATAGGCATCAAGGTTTTATAGCACTATAGTAAAGTATAGTGGCGAAAAGATAGGGTTATATATATATATATATATATATATATATATATATATATATATATATATATATATATGAGCTTAATATAATTTCGTGTATTTTAGATTAACATGATTATTATAACTTTAACAACTGAATAGTGCTTTATGACCTTTGACGTCTAGCACATTAATTTGTTTAAAACATTAAACATTAACTACTGAATGTGTTTAGTCTTTGTTAAAAAGTGTAATGTAAAAGTAATATTAGCACAAAATGATTGCACTTTCACTTCTTGCTACTCAGATGATTCATTGTTTATATATTCGACAGGCAGAGAAGATAGGGTGGAATACATTATTGTAATTACCACTTAATCTATCATCATTACATAATTAAACCAGATTTTATCCACATGATATCCTTAGCCCAATAGATAATCAAATAGGTTTTTATGATTTATAGGTCGATGTACTAGTGAGGACCAACAGACCTACTTTAAAAACCAGGCCGGCCATCGTCTCTTTTAAGATATTCACTAACCCAAAACACCTGCTATTAAGTTTCATTTAGAACACCCGTCCAAGCAGCGGATCGTGTGTAATAA